TCAACGTATCGAACTTTCATTAATTGGAATCGATTGGTGGTCGTTTGATGGTCTTTGGTAGAGTCCTAGATAATAGAGAAGCGACATTGAAGGGAATGGTCTGATTGGCTAACTAAATCACGTGATCCAGCGCCATTTTGTTTCTCCCTTATGGTTAAATAAGTGAGGTTAATGCACGTTAGAGGCCTGCTGCACGTGAGACAACGCGAGACATTACTGTTTACGGTTGGGCAGCGATCATGAAACTTCGAGCGGAACTTTTCACTTTTCACGATTCCGCTTGTCCAGATTCCGCGTGAATTTTTTCATGAATTTCAGAGGCATTACGAGCGATTATGTATTGAGATATATGAAAAGTGAAATCACTGAATATATGGTAACATCAGGTAAAGAAAATTACAAAGAAATTACTAGTATCATCTTAAACCGCGAATCGCCGATATTTCAAGAAAAATATATGTAGTAAAGTAAGTAGCTGCAAACATGAATGTGACAATAAAACAGAAAGAAATATTGTTAAATAATTTGAAAAATCATGCGGATTTAGTGAAAGGTCGAATAGACCGAAAAAGTGAAAGCAAACGGAAAATGGTAAATTAAAAGTACTATTATAATTATCTATTAATTATGTGTCAAAGATATATGTATACATGTGATAGAGGTTATTTAACTCGTATAACTTATTATTAATGTGTTTAGAATGATATGTGGAATAAGGTAGCTGAAAACATTAATGCAGCTAATGCAGGTCTTCGGAAAAATGGACAAGAATGGGCAAAGGTTATAATATGTATACCTACCTTTATTATGTCATAGTTTTAAAATTAAACACAGATTAAATTATTATTAATCTTTAAAAAAGAAGTCTTTATATATAATAATCTATAATTTTTCTAGACATGGAAAGATATGAAATCGTACATATTGAAGAAAGAAGCTAAACGAAGAAATTATATACAAGGGACAGGTGGTGGATCTCCTCCTAAAATTCCTTTTTCAAGTTTTGAAGAAGAAGTTTTACAATTGTTAACACCGGAGGCAGCTGGAATGGAAAATATTCCAGAGGGTGGAATAATTGATGATACAGAAGAGACAGTACAAGAATGTGGTCCAAATAATGATTATTATGAAATAGTAGATGAGCAGAATATGTTATCACATCTAGAAGTAGAAGAAGATAATATAGAAAATGCATCGCCAAATATTGATAAAAGAAAGCAAAAGAATATTAATACAGTTACACAAAAAAATAGTACCAAAAAAGGTGATTTGAAAGATATGTTATATATAATGAAAAGTGTAAAAAGGATCTTTAATTTATATATAATAGTGAATTTACTAAGGGATTATTTAATATCTGTCTTGAATTGCAGAAAAGTCCACGCATCAGTTATCATACAGCATATTAAATATTCAAGAAAAGAAATTGAAAATGAAGAAAAAAGAATTAAAAATTAGAAAAAAAACATTAAAGGCACAAGAAGATATTTTAACTGAGTTGAAAAACATAAAATATATGTTACAGGCACCTGCAGATGAATTAGTATTGTAAGATCATTAACATATTTTAATTAAGATATATTTTAAACGTGATATTCTGTGGCACTGAACTCTATACATGCTGGAAAGATCTATTGTTCTAGCTGCGTTTGGGTGTATGTACCTCTTCCTCTGTAATACTACCTGATTGATCAATTGCATAAATAGATAAAGACGCATGACATAAACTCACTGCGTCATATTTCTACGATTGATCAATCAGGTAGTACTAGAAAGAGAGAAAAGTACACCCAAACGCACCTCTTTCTCAGCGACAGCCAGAACAATATAGATCACTCATTCGTGTATATAGAGTTTAGTGTTCTGTGCAATATAAATATTCGTGAAAAGTTTATTTGTGTTGTTAATAAAATATATATTCATTCATACAGCATTTTGAAAAAGTGTATATATTCTTTGTTTCGTATTACAAAAAATAATTCCCAAAAACTGTACAACGGTTATGCGTCTATTTAGATAATTGCTTTCGATGTTAAAAATTGCAAAATTTCTTATTCAAGACTTAAATATAGGTGCGTACAATACGTGCGTATATACAATATTTCTTCGTTTAGCTTCTTTTTTCAAAAAGAATTATTTCATATCTTTATGTAAAATATCTTTCAATAATTGCTTCGCGTGTTGCATGTCCTCTTGCGCGCATATTTGCAAGTGCATTATCTTCTGCCCCAATATCTTCATTAATATCCTCTTCTCTATATATTTCATCATCCGCAATATTGTATTGTTTAGCAATGTTATGCAACACACATGTTGCATTTACTATAAGTGCTGAAATATAACAAAGTTTTATAGTAATTTTAAATATAATTTTTAGAAAATACCAAAATATATATAAAATATTTCTCTTACCAGCAAATTCTGGTAAATAATGTAATGCCCTTTCTTTGCGCAAACATCTCCATCTGCCTTTTAATATTCCTATGGTTCTTTCCACGGAGCATCGTGCTCTTACATGACTGTCTGTATACGCAGCACTTGGAGACCCTGGTGGCTGATTTAATTTTGGTGTCATGAGGTATGGCAACAATGGGTATCCAGAATCTCCTAAAATCGTAAGTTAAAAAACTAAACATACTCCACAGACACACAGTAAATAAATAAATAAGTTTATGTTATCACGCAACTATTATAATTCATATGTCAAATCTACTTGTAATAATAAATATTTATTGATTTAAAAATTTTTCATGTAGATAAAGGAATTGCAGAATTAATATGATTGTCATAATTTATTGCTATATTAAATATTCTTGTATTGTTATTTATATATAAATTGCAATACCTTTAATTTTTTATTAATACAATTTTTTCTAAGAATGATAAAGATAATCTTTCTTATAATATCTCTTGTAGCATTTTTTTTATTAATACATCTTAATATATAACAACCATACTTCTCCTTACCTA